GAATCATTCTTCCATTTGTGGAATGACAATTTAAACAGTACAGTGTAGATGCTGTCAGAATTATTGCCATCCTTTCACATAGGGGAAAAAAAACGCTTAAGTTCTCGAGAGCCAGTTCCATTTTATATATGTCAAATATATATATGTTATTGTTATTAAGGTCTTGCCTCTGCTTTGAATGCCTACCGTGCATCAGACATTCTTCCCTGGCTGGTGTCTAACAATTATGTTGACTAACTTGCTGTGCTGGCTGTCGATACTTGTATCACCTGTGTGAATTTAACCGGACTTTGTTGCTTTTAACCATTTGTGTGACGTAGGCTAACTGTGTAGATATTGCAAAGAAAGACAAGCGGGTCACGAGACGATGGAGAACAAAAAGCGTCAGCAAAGATACAAAAATGCAACTGCAGGTACAGACGTTTCTTTTCCTTCGTGTATGTTTTTTATCAGCTGTTAAAGTATGAGTCCGTCCGTCCTCACCTAGATCACCTCAGGGGACTTCTGTCCAGTGAGCAGCCTCACTGCTTTACAGCCGGTGCTGACATGCAAACTCAGTCAGTCAGCTTTTTCCCAACTTCTGTTTTCCAAGAATGCATTGGGGAGGGGTTGCTTTAGATTAGCAATCCACAAACCCAGGAGCTAGATTTCCCACTGTGAGTTCCAGACAGTTGGATGCCAGGCATTTCGGTTCCGTTTCCTGGGTTTCCACTTGCTTGTGGGTTGCTCTGAATTTCCTTTCAACCCTCAAATTCCACGATTCTCCCCAATCAGAGGCACTATTTGACCATCAGCAGTCACTTTCAAATTCTGGACTAAAGTCTTCATGCCTCCTGATAAAGTTACTTAAAAGTTATTAGATATAGGTTATTTATTTGAAATGTATAGTTTGAACTTGTTAAAGACCCTTGTTGTGTTATTGTATAGCAATGATATGAAATAGGGTGATTGCCTAAAACCTCTTATGTCTTTTTTTTTCAACCTTTTATGTCTTAAGTCATATTACTTTCAGAATTTTAAACTATAATCCCCACTACTCTCATCCTGGGTTGTTATTATAATGGCAAGTTGTCCTAGACCATAAATATTAGACTTATGAGTTGTTTTTTTAATACTATACTATAAATCAATTTATATTCTAATGCAAAAAGAACTGCTTTTCAGCTTTTGCCTGTCTTCTGAATAATCCTTCTCTGATTCTGACTGCGTTAATAATGTGTTCTTTTTACTGTGAATCTGAATATCTCAATAACAAACTCTTTTGTTGCCTTGCTTGTCTATCTGATATATTTGAAAATAAGCTTTCATGAGCGTTAAAGATCTTTTTTTCATGAAGTACGTCAACATTCTGTGAACACATTTTTTGTTTGTTCCTTCAATATATTTTTGTATGTTTTCCACCCTGTTCATAAAATTAGCACTGGAGAGACAAATGTGCCAAATTATTTCACAAGAAAATTACCTAAAATTGCTCTTGGCAATTTTTTTTGTTTTGAGCTTGTGATGGTCTGGTAGTTTTGTTTTTCAAGCCTGGTGTCTGTGATGATCATAACCAAGAAAACAGAACCATATTATAAATAAAATAATTGAGCCGCCCAACATCGCATGAATATATATGAGAGGGCTTCAAAAAGTTCGTGGAAAAATTCCGCTTTCCTTTAATCCTATTTTTCCATGTTCATGGAATGTCGAGAGACATTATTTCGATCTCATGTCTGTGCGGTTTGCCGTGAAACAGCTGTGTCGCTCGCAGCCGTTGCCTTCTGACAGGTCGGTCCTCAGCGAGTCTGGGTGTTTGCTTGGACCCCCACCCCACCCCCATGCAGCTCCAAGGCCCGCCGTGATAGGAACGGCACCCAGAGTTTCCCGGGGTTTTCTCCTGAAGGAACTAGACTGCAAATCCTAACTCCCTCCTATGCGCAGGCTTCGTTTGGGTCATCAGAAGAGATCCCTGGGAAAAGCAGGACCATCGTCTCCTTTCACCCTCCTGCCCCGAGTGTGGCTGGCGTGCTTTGGTTCGCGTTGGTGTTTTTCTTCGTGTTGCTTTGCTCTCTTGTTTTTGCAAACTCACGAGACGGCCTTTGTGATCCAAGTGGAGCTATTTTTAAAGGAAATTGAAATGACCTCAACTCCATACCCAGAGAAAACTTCCCCCTTTCAAAGTGGGAGATCCAGTTCCAACTCCCGAGCAGAGAGGCAGTGGTTGGCTTCAGGAGGGACGATCCGCTATCCATCACTCCCAGAGAGACCCCACCTTCCCTTGAGCTAGGAAAACAAAAGACGTCCTAGGAGTGAGGGCTGTAGAGGTGCCCCCATCCCTCGATCTTCTTTGCCCTTCGAAACCAACAGGCCCCTCAAGGGTTCTTAGGGTGCTCATTCTAGGTTCCCCAGAAATTACCCGGGAAGATTCTTCAACATGTACATTGGACTGGGGAACCTTAGCCCATCCTGGTGTGAACTGTGACCCAGCCTGAAAATCATTACGCATAAGTATGTTGCCTACAGAAAGACATAACATTTATCTTTATTGTAGTGTGCTAAAGCACCCATGGCCTCTCTCCACCCTAACACATCGGCCTTGCACCCCTGCTCCCCAATCCAATGTGATCCTTGCTGTGGAATCTAGTTTCACGGTGCCAAGAACTTGTTTGGGGGCCACAATCGTCTCAGTGCTTGAACTGGCTCCTCTGGTACTCGTTGCCACAGCTCGCTTTTCATCCTTCCTATTAGAATTTTCAGGGTCTCTGGGTGGCACACCTGGTTAAGGGTTTGGGAAAGTTGGCAGCTGGAGCCCACCAGAGGGACCCTGGAAGACAGGCTTGAAAACCCCTGCCGAACAGTTCTCTGCAGCCAACGGGGTGGCCACGAGTCGGAATCAACTTCACAGCCACTGCCCGCAAAGACATTGACAGCTCTTGGCACGCCAGTCACGTGGGAAGGAAGCCAGACTCTCCGGTCTTGGTGGTGTTGATGCGCTTGTGGCTGCTACGACCATTCCCGATGTTGGTTGTCACCCTGAACTGCCCTGGGAACATTCTGTAGTAGCAGTCACTTTGAAATCATTAGGAAATTTGAAAAACCCATCTCAGAAAAGTGAGAGTGGAATCTTGTTGCATTAGCTATTTGGTGGCTGATTTTGCCATCGCTAAGGGTTAAGTCTACACCTTCACGGCCCTAACTCCTAGAACCCATTGGGAGGTTGGCCCATGGAACCCAATGTATCACTTTTGGAAGGCAACCTTTGTCCTAGAAGCCCCAGCAAGGATTGCCTTTAAGGAACAAGTCTTCCTGCCTTTCCAGCGTGAACATTCCTCGCTCTAATAGCAATCTGTCTCATTGCTGTGGCATAGCAATCGGCAGCGGCTCACAGGGAAGGATATTTCACAGAGGGTTCCTGTGAGAGAGAGCCGCGAGGTGTCCTGCGTTATTATTAGCATGAATTAAAGACTCAACCCCTGAATGCTGGAAAAGTAGGCTGGACATAGGAGCAGATCTGACGCCGTTGTGTGTAGCTGCCCAAGGCTTCACAGATACTCAGATTCCACTGAGAATAAAAATAAGTTTATCCTTCTTTTACTGGATGAAGCCTAAAGGGAACTTTTATGGAAAACGCTGTGTGAGTGTATTTAAACTCAAGTATGCAGAAGGCTTGTGAATATGGAAAAGAAAATTTGATTATAATTTGTGACGTATAAAGGAGTTGGAGATGTAGAAACCCTAAAATACTTTTCTTCCATTCTAAACGGACATACATTTTTTCCTTCTTCTGAACTGATACATTGCAACTAAATAAAAGTTAATTTATTGTTCACAACCTTGAAGGGTCAGGTGTGTTATGTGGAGGCACAGTTCAGTGGTTAGAAGGAAATGTCCCTATCTCGTCATTCAGTCCATAAAACGAACAAGGAGGGGAAAGAAATGGATGCACTTGCATTCTTTTCTGTCTTTGTGCATCAGTACACATCACTAAATGAAACGTATGCATCTGCTTTGCGTCGTTGACTTTTGTGCACATTCATTGCCCCAACAGTGTAGGTGACTTGACATTTTTCCCCTGTGCTTCCTCCCTAGAAAATCATTCACCCTGAAAATCCCAACTTCAACTCCACTCCTAATGTTGTACCCTAGCAGACTTCCCTGTAGGTCACATGAGGAGTGGGCCATTACTGGAATTTTGCTCTTAGAAGTTTTCCCTAGAAACCACTGCGAAAGTCAGCCTAGCCAACAGAGGGCATCCGTGTTAGCCATCCCACCTTAGTTATCTTAGGAGCTTGACCGAAACCTGCTTTTTCTTTTCTCCCACTAACTGAATGCCTTTTGGCCTCACCTAACTTGCGATTGCCCCAACAAAAACAGCACGCACCTTGAGTTTAAAATCACAGGCTAGTCCAGCACCTTTGGGGGTGGCCGGTCTAGTCAGGAAATAGACTTAGGTGGGTCGAAGTTCTGTGATGAGAATGGTGAGCTATTTTCTCTGCATAAGTGGCTTGAAGCTCTTTTCAATATTAACGTCTAGGAAAAGCCAACTTCAGTTAAAAGCCGCCCTCTTCCTTGTCTGATGATCTTTCATCCTCCCGTCTCCCATCCTCCTCTTCCCACCCGTGTTTTCTCCTCCATTCTCTTCTCCGGTTCGCTGTCAGGAAGGGCCACCTGCGAAGGGCCAGTTCAGCACAACTCGGCGCCGGCAGAGGCTAGCGGCAGCGGTGGCTACAACAGTGAGTGGATTTCCATCTCAAGGGGGTGTTTATAAGGAGGAGAAAAGGTGTACAAATGCCACCACCCCTGTTCTGTGGGTGCCGCTTGTGTCATCGAATGTAGCCCACTCGTCTGTGTTGGCAGAGCCCTTGCATGTTCTCTGCCTGTCTTTGCATGGCAGGAGGCTCTCGTGGCAGGAGGTTCGCCCCGGCAGTGGGGAACCTCCGCCCCGTGTTCACCTCTGCTCTATGTGTAGCACACATGTCTGTTAGAGCTCTCTGAAGCTGAGCACAGCACCTGTGCCGTGGCGTCTCCTGAAATTGAATTGCTACGTTTCTCTGCTCCAGTGATTTTGGAAGCTTGACCGATTTCTGGTTGTCTAAGAAAAGTCATGCTACTGCAGACGTGCACTGTGCTTTGTTTTGGCAGCCATGTGACTGTTTGAAAAGAATCTGAGACTAAAGGCGTGGGACGGGAAGAAGGTGATTCTTGATGTGGTTTTGAAATGGCTCCCAAATGTTCACGGAGCAAGGGGAAGTTGTTTTCTAGAAAGAATACTGAGGTGAAAACATAGACTAGGACAGTAAAGCAAAAATCAAAGGATGTTGGAACCCTGGTGACAAACTGGGTCACCTGTTGGGCAGCTCAACACAAGGTCAGCAGTTCAAACCCACCTCTTCTCTTTCTCCCCAGGAGAAAGGGAAGGCTCTCTGCTCCCATGAAGACTTGTAGTCTTGGAAACGCAAATGGGTCTTTCTACTTTGTCCCATAAGCTTGCTGTCAGTTGGAATCAACTCGATGGCAGTGGGCTTGTGTTGGTTAGTGTATACCTAGAGTTTTATCAGAGGAAATAAAATGGCCATAAAGAGATTAGAGAACATATTATGAGACACAAGCTTAGTGAGCCGGAATTTAAAATTGACTAGAAGACGTTTAGAGAGTGAATTGTCCATGCAGAATGCTTATGAGATATAATAAGCACAGGTTTTATTTTCCTGATCAATGTAAAGTGTATTATTAATCATGAGATGCTTTGCTTTCTTTTTAAATACAGACTGAGTTGATAGCAACTATAGGTCTTAGTTTGGGGCTGATACTATTTTCTGAATTAACAGTAGCCATTGTTTTACTAATGCTAGAATATGTTCAGGACTAGAATAGTTGGGGGAGAAAAATAAAAAGAAGAAGAACATAAAGGATTTCAGTGTGCCTTGATGGAAAATAGAGACCAAACCAAACTCGCTGACATGGAGTCACTTCTGACGGTAGCAACCCTATAGAACAGGATAGAACTGCCCTTGTGGGCTTCAGAGACGGGAACTTAACAGAATCACAAAGCTTCATCTTTCTCCCACAGCGCAGCTAGTGGTTTTGAACTGCTGGCCCTGCAGTTAGCAGCCCATGCTTAACCACTAGGCCACCAGGGCTCCTGGTGAGAATGGATACTGGTGCCAAAATGATTGTACTTTATGTTCAGTAATTTAATCTTGCTTTCTATCTGCATGTCTGGCAGGGTTGTTTCAGTGATGAAATATCTTGATTATGGAATGAAGAATTATCTTGGAATTCATTAAGGAACTGACTATGAAACTCACAATTTTGTGAACATATGCATACAAAAGTTATTGAGGTTTATGTCCTGGTTCATGGATATCTTGTGTATGTACTCAAACGTGGATGCTCTTATTAAGTCTAGGATGCAGATAAAAAGCGATAGCAGATTCTGACCACAGATGTGTGCCCGATAAGTTAAATAATTCCTAAAGCACCCGTTTTTATTTTCAAAACCAAGAAATCCGAATGACCGTTACAGAGAGATAGCGAGAGAGCAACATCTCCGTAGAAACCAAATGTCAGTGATTTTATGAAAATACTTATGTTTTCTTGAAGTATTTAAAAAATGACAAGACAGTGACAGTGCCAACCTGGTTTCTCTTTCTCACTGTGGACCCATGTAATGAATGAATAAAATAACCCTGCAATTGGAGCCCAGTCAAACAGAAGGGGCTTATGTTTTAAAATTAGGAAATAGAAGGAGGGGGGGGAACCCTCATATATGAAGATAGCATGAATGTCTAGCTCCCAGGGCAATTGTGACCACAATAGTAAAGAATAACATTTAGTTATGCCCTCTAGGCCAGCGTTGATAACTTCAACTGCCTACCAGAACACCAAGCAATCTAGCGGGCTCCTCTGAGCTGGCTCCCGGCCCCTCATCTGCATCTCAAGAGCCTGATGCGGGTGATTCAGCCTTCCTACTTCCTCTTCCTCTCCCACCCCCGGGGGTATATCTGTGTCTGTCTGTGGTATACAACTAAACATTTGCCACCTCAACGTACAATCCCGTGACATTTTCCCATCACCCTTCCCCAGAGCCCTGATGGGGCAGTGGTTACACACTGGGCTTCGACCCATGAGGTGTGCAGATTGAAACCCCCAGTGTGCTTCTTGGAGAAAAGCAGGCCTTTCTCCTCCCCTAAACAAATCGCAGTCGTCAAAACTCGCAGGGCCAGCTCTCCTGTCCTGCAGGGTCGCTGTGTGTCAGGATTGACTCATCACGATGAGCTTGGTCTGCTCACCAGAACCGACGGTCCATCGAGTCTGACTTTGATGCAGTCATTCCCCTTCGTTCCCAGTCCTTTCTCTGCCCAACCTCATATGCGACACAGTTTTTGACCCGCTTATGTCCTGCTGGGGACCTTTTGCTTAGCGTCCATCCAAATGGCTCCTAGTCACTATATTTTCTTGGCCACCCAGGTGTCTGCGGCAGCTAAGACTGCTCCCAAAGAAGCATTTACCAGGGAGACGGTTCGGAAAGCAATTGCTGCTGTCTCTTCAAACGGGCCACTTGTCTCATCAGCCAGACCCGACAGAAAAGAATGCTGGAACGGAGAAACACTGACCCCTCTGTGTGGAGGACCCCTGAGGGTCCCTGCTCAGCCATTGCACCCCGCAAAACCCTGTGATCGCATAATGCGTGCTAACAGCAGCAGGAGTTGTCGTCTCAGCTTGGTTTTTGTCTGAGACATACTGCGTGTACCTCTTTTTCTTTCACGTTCACCCCCACCGCTTCATTGCTGCACCATTCGTTTCCTGGCTAGCTCTGTTTTCCTTCAGACTTTTTCGTAACCAGCTGTTACGAGCAGCTCCTGGTATCCCCATTCCGAACCGCCCTGATTGGTACCAGAATGTTCCAGGATCACACTTCCTCCCTATCGTAGAACTTTCAGGACACCTAAGATTGCTCTCCTGAGCAGGTTATCAAGTCCCAAACCGAGCACAGGAATTGGCATTGAGGACTACGGCCCGTTCCACCCCTGACAGCACCGAGACACCACTTACAATTGTCATCCCATCACACCCCAAGTGAGGCATGTGAAAGTGGAGTAAATAGAGGCCCAGGGCTGGAGAGAGCTTCAACTACAGCGAGATGAATACATCCCAAAGTATCTTCTCCATTTCATTGCATGAATTCTTCAATTAAGTTGACCCAGTCCTCACACTTCTTTGAGCCAAAAATGTATCACTAGCAACATTTCCATCCAGAAGTGTATAACAATTGGTTTTCAATTTCCTAGGGAACTGACTGATGGCAGTTTGCATGGAGCCATCCCAGGCCCCTTCCCCACGGGGAAACTGGAAAACCATTTTTACAGTTTTAATTGCCAATTTAAACCTCTATTGTGTTCAAAATATAAATGTATAACATGATTTTCTTCTCAGCATCTAATTCCAACAGTTAATAGGAATCATCACTGAGGAACTACTCGGGGTCCTTCCTGGCCTCTGGGTCTTCCCTGCATACAGGCCACCCGCCCCACCCTCTGTCCCTGGCCTCGAGACCCCTTCCCACCTACTCAAGGAAGGAGGCACTTCTCCTAAGTCCCGTGGCCCCAGGAGGGTTGGTTTGACCCCATGTGTGTAGTACCTCGTACTTACTGCCTCTCTCTCACAAGTACGCACACCATGCACGTCCTCCCACACCAGACCACAGAGATCCTTAGTAATGTTTAAGTTGCTTAATGTAACATTTCTTAGATGTATGAATACTAACACAATAGAGTTGGACTGTTCAACCCAAGGTCGGAGGTTCAAACCCACCTGCCCTACAGGAGACAGATGAGACTGTCTGCTCCCGGAAAGACTTACTGCTTAGGAAACCCACAGCGGCAGTTCTACTCTGACTTCCAGGGTCACCATGAGTTGATGTTGTTGTTAACAACAAAATTGCTTTGCAGAATCTTTCTACGCTGAGTTACCACATGATTTGTTACAATAACTGAGCAGAAGCCTTTTCTGGAAGCCCTGTGCAGATTTTTCTCCTCCTTTCCCCTTAAATACTACTTCCTTCTCCAAAAGAAAGTTATTGATGCAGCTTCACTGGTACAAATTACCACAATGTCGCCTCACCAGGCAATGTGACAAAATTGCAGTGCAGGGCCTGCCTGCCACGAAGCGTAGCTGTAATCGGCTACTTCTGACCCTGTCCTGACCACGCACTTACCAGGAGTATTAGCCCTGGAGGTGTGTTGGTAGTTTGTAGGCTGAGATTACACACACAAGAAAGTGTTATTGTTGTGATAACTAACTACAGGGATATCCCACAGCCCTCCAGGCCACCACTGCACAAACTCCCTGCCTTTGAGCCCCTGCCAGCCGGTGGTCTCAACTTTCCCTTTTGGAGCGGCTGATGGTTTCAAACCACTGACCCTGCCTTGAACAGCCCAACACGAACCCCATTAGGCTACCAGGGCTCTCTGTGACAGTCCTTGAGGTGCTGCAGGTACTTGTGTGCAGATAAAATCCTCAGACTGTGATCCGTAACACGTGACATCATTTTACCCAATTCCTAGGGTCCTGGTCTCCCCTCCCTACAACTTCCATATCTTCAACAGCCTCCCCCATGGATCCTCCTATGGGGGCTCTGAGCAGACTCTTCGTTCTAGATTTAGCGTCACCAACGTTGAAGTCAGAAATTTCCCTTATCCTTCGAATGGGAGGAAGACGAGCCTTCCTGCTCCGGTGAACAGCCTCGGAAACTCACAGGGGCAGTACCACCCTGCCCTGTAGGGTGGCAATGAGTCGGAATCAACTCGATGCAGTGGGTTTTTGTGTTTTATCCTTTAAGTTTGTTTCCATCTAAATCCCACCATTCTTGCATTGTATCCCAAAGAACCTCAGTCGCTGTGATCCTTGTTGCCTGGACAGATTTCCAGCAACTTACTGAACTAAAGAGCTCTGTTTCTCAAGTGGCTCCCCTGCCACTTCTGTAGCTCTCCTCTGAGCTAAACCAGCTGCTCCCTCTCCCAGCCCAGAGCAGCAGGGTACCCGTGGAGGACCAGAGAGACTTGCTCTGATAACTCGAGATGCGAAACACTTTGAATATGATGGGGCTTCAAAAGTGTGCAGGGAAAGAAATCCATTCTCTTTTTTACTAACTTTCTTACCTTACATGTTGGTATCAAGGGGGAGAAAGCCTTCTGCACACCCCTTTCCCAATAACTAACTCCCTGCCAGGACCGAGCTACACTGGTGCAGTTTCAACCACTGGGGCCCGTATTCCCAAACCAGCTCAGACGGCCATGTGGTTCTTCTCTCTGATTCCTTTATCTCTCCTCATCATCCTCAGGTGAATTGGCCACTTCATAAGCCATGTTTTCTGTGTCCCAAGTGCTCGTTCTCTGACTCCTGTCCTTGCTCCCTCTCCCCCTCTCCCACATTCACCAAATCCGCCGGGAAGTTCAAAGCAGAAACCAACAAATACAAATGGTTCTGACATTGCCGTATCCCTAGATGTCACACAAAGGACTGGCTTCTTCCTCCTGCACCACAGTTCCTGTTAGGTAGAGGATGGGACTTTTCCTTTCAGTGATTCAAGATACTGTGTGTGGAGGAGCCTAAGAGTCTGATTTGTGAAGATAATCATGTGAACAGCTGTGCCACAGAAATTAGAGGCTACCTGTGACCCGAGGAACTCTGGCTTATTCACTGGGCTGCTAACCACAAGGTCAGCAGTTCGAAACCGCTAGCCACTCTGAAGAAGAAAGGTGAAGCTTTCTACTCCTGTGTAGGCTTATAGTCTCAGAAGTGCACCAGGGCACTTCTCCCCTGCCCGATAGGGTCGGTAGAAGTCGGAATGAACTAAGGCCATGAGTTTGGTTTTTTTAGACCAGGTAACCTGATTGACATGCGGAATTGGTAGTTCTGTCTTCAAGGACATTTGGCTAACAGCATTGGTAATGGTCGGAAAGAACCCTCTAGAAGAGAGGGCAGAGCCCATTGCTTGGGCATCACAGCCTGCTCTAGGGTCAGCCTGGGCGGGAACGCACCTATAACCTTTCGGGGAACTCTATAGGAATATGAGTTTATTTTTTAACCTCATACTTTTCAGTGTTGGGCACCTCACCAGCACTATATGTAAACGAATTATGTCCTAGATAAGGGCAAGCGATACTTTGTCTATTGCATTTACTAGTATGTATTCTGAAATGCTGTCAGAATGGGAGTGGGTCTCTTTAAGCCTTGATTTTATCAACTTTTGAACTTGATTTGTGTGTTAGGCGGTAGCTTCAGGGTGGGGAGTGAATCTTTCTCTGTACAGTTCTCCTGTGTGTGTTATTGGCCCGTCTGACTTAAGGTCAGTTTGGGGCTCAGAAAGACAGAAGCCCACATAGTTCTCTGACACAAGTAGCTGACTCCGTCAGGAAAGGTCAGCTTCCATCACAACTCAGACTGCTGTCTTCTGACAGTGTCTCCATGCAACTCTGAGTTCGAAACAGAAGCTCTTCTGGCATGCCACCCTCTCAGCCTGCATTCTGTGAACTTTCTGTAACAGAGACACTGGGAAAGCAGTGCATAGTGCTAAATCAACTATGGTGGATGGGATACCTTCTCCCCACCCCGTCTACCTGCAAAATGAATGTGCACAGAGTGTCTCTGGGCCTGTCATCCCAAGAGCAATCTATGATCTTGAATGGGAGAGAGCTTTCCTTGTCAGAGAAGGTGGAGCAGTATGCTGTTTCTCCTTAATAATTCCTGTCTCCCCCTTCCAGGTACCTTTCAGTGCTACAATGTCACCGGTCCGCTTGCATTCCTCCAACCCCAACCTCTGTGCAGATATTGAATTTCGGACTCCCCCCAGCCATCTCACTGACCCTCTGGAAAGTTCATCGGATTATACAAAGCTCCAAGAAGAGTTTTGTCTCATTGCACAGAAAGGTAATGGCAAATACAATATACCCCGGAGAGAAGCGCTCTTCTTGGCAGTGAGGTTGTCGTTTATTTAGTTAGATATCAGGTATCAAGGACCCAGAACAAAATATCATATCAATGTGAATGAGAGGGAGTGCAGAGTGGAGACTCAAAGCCCATCTGTAGACAATTGGACATCCCCTGACAGAAGGGTCACAAGGAAGAGATGAGCCAGTCAGGGTGAAGTATAGCACCAATGAAACATACAACATTCCTCTAGTTCTTTAGTGCTTCCCCCCCCCCCCACTATCATGACCCCAGTTCTACCTTACAAATCTGGCTAGACTGGAGCATGTACACTGGCACAGATAAGAGCTGGGTACACAGGGAATCCAGGATCTATAAACCCCTCAGAACCAATAAAGAGAGTAATGATACCAGGAGGGGAAAGGGAAGGAGGAAGGGCAGAAAAGGGGGAACTGATCACAATTATTTAAATATAACCTCCTCCCAGGGGGACGGACAACAGAAAGGTGGGTGAAGGGAGACAGCAGTCAGTATAAGACATGAAAAAAAAATCTATAAATTATCAAGGGTTTATAAGGGAAGGAGTCGGGGGAGCAGGGAAAAAAATGAGCTGATACCAAGGGCTCAATTAGAAAATGTTTTGAGAATGAGGATGGCAACAAATGTACAAATGTGCTTGACACAATGGATGGAGGTATGGATTGTGATAAGAGCTGTATGAGCCCCCAATAAAATGAAGGGAAAAAAAGTGTTCTTTGTGAAGGTGGTCATGCCCAACCCACCGCTGTCAGTCTAGTCTGACTGACAGTGATCCTGTCAGACAGCACAGAATTGCCCTAGGTTTTCCCAGCGGTTGGTCTTTCTGGATGCCGACGGCAACATCTGCAACATCCTTCTGCCGGGCAGTGGCTGATGGATACAAATCCCCAGACTTTTCATTTGCTTTCAAACGCCTGGACCGCAGCACCACCAGGAGTCCCGGCTGCTGGAAAAAGAAAGCGTTTCCTATGTGGTTGGAATTGTTTCTGCATCAGCATACTCAGCCAGGCCAGGAAGCACACAGAGATGTGCAGTTTTGACTCATTAAAGAGCGTGTCATTGGGTTGGGGAAGGAAGGGTTGGTCCTTGGGCAGGGGTGGGGAACCTTTGTCTGCCAAGGGCCATTTGGATATTTACATCATTCACGGGCCATAGTGGTCAAACCGTTCATTAATTCACCCCTAGTGTGAGGGCTGGAACTGCTTCTCTTTGGTGAGGTGTGTGATGTGAGCTGGTATTGACAATTTCTCCAGTTTTATATGGCCTATGAGCTGAATATTCCTCACCCCAGTCCTAAGGAGTCAAACTGATACTACTATTCAGCACCTTGGTTTGTGTGGTGTTTTTTCTTCTTTATGTTTTATTGGCATTTAATTCACACATCATACAGATCAATAGTTCAAGCATATTAAGAAGAATAGTACAATCATCACCACAATCAATTTTAGAATATTTTCTTCTTTCTTTTACTCAATATCATCGTCTTCCCATTTGCCCCAGTCTCCCCTGCCATACCCCCAAGAAAGCATTAATCAAGTTACTGTCTCCATAGACTTACCATGTAAGTATATTTGAATTCCAGCACATTTTACTTGGGGAGCCCTGGTGTTGCAGTGGGTTATGTGTTGGGCTGTGAACCACAAGGTCAGCAGTTCAAAAACACCTGCCGTACCGCAGGAGAAAGATGAGGCTTTCTACTCTCTTAAATGTTTAGTCTTGGAAATCCACAGCGTTTCTGATTGCCCTATAGGGGGTTGCTCTGAGACAGAATCAACTTGATGGCAGTGAGTTTCAAGTTTTGGACTACTTAACATGGATTATCCTAAGCAAGAAAATTTTAAAAAGAAAGAACTAGATTCTGGTTGATTGTCTTTTTCAATAGCACTCATTTTGCTATATTTTAGTCATGGGTCTGGAGTTCAGGCAGGGCTCAGCTAGACAGTTCTGTCCATGTGGCATTGACTGGGCTCACTGGCTGGTGTGAAGTTGGTCTGGTCTGCAAGGGCCCAGGCGGCTTCACGCGTGTGCCAGCCCCTTGACAGGAGTTCTGAAGACGACATCTTCTCTGTGCTGTCTGAAGGACACCCTCACCGTCTCAGGACTCCAAGAGACCAGAAGCAGCAGCAGCAGCTGGGTGTCGAAGCTACCTCTAGGACTGCCAGAGCCTCCCTGTCTACAGGTCAAAGTGCACAGGTCAGCTCAGATTTAGAGCGGGGATGGGGAAGGAGCCTGACTGATCTTCGTGTTAAGTTTTCAAAGAGACTTTTCATTCCCTTGGAGGGTACCCAACACAGCTTGCTGTCATTGGGTCGGTTCTGATGCATAGTGACCTTAGAGGAAGGACAGTAGAACTGTCCATGCGGGTATCCCTTTACAGAATAGAAAGCCTCCTCTCTCTCCCTTTTCTCTCTAAAAGAGCGGCTGGTGGTTTCAAACTGTTGGCCTTGTGGTTAGCAGAACAGTGAGTAACAGACTACGCCACCAAGGCTCCTCCTCAGAGAGCAGGGAATGCTACTTAGAAGGTGGATCATAGCAGTTAGGTGGACCGAGCAGTCCTTTCTGCTTTTAAGAGGAGCGTGGCTCCCAAGCCACCCTCCCCACTCTTTGCTATAGCAGTTAACTTTAATGACTGAGGGGTTTGTCGTTTTATACTAAAAGTAAGGTGGTAAACATCCTGGGTATGAGTATAACCTTTTAAAATGTATCATATTCTGGAAAGAGCAATGCACTGTGTTGTTTTCAGTCACTAATATCTGATTATGACTGAATCATATCCCTCTCCCCCCCACCCCCCACCCAGGATTTGCTGGTAATAGGCTACCAAGTGTTCGTGCAACTGCGTATTAATGGAACATCTCAAGTGTCCCCTAATAACCTAGTGTCTAGTGGCTCAGAAAAAGAGAGGGCATAGCTGAAACGTTTCTGGGAATGTTGAACCAACAGAAATCAATACTCTCAAACCATCAGCAAAAATGTGCTATCAGGATTTTCTTTTTAATTCAATAGCCCTAAAAAATTAAAGTAAATCATTTTTACTCAAGAAAAAAGATCACCTTAACTCGCTTTCCCCCCCGACAGATTTCCCGATTGGGGTGTGTAAGGCCATCTCTCACACTTCATTGCCTTTCCTTCCAGGGGTCCACAAACTACGGCCCACAGGCCACATGCGGCCCGCCGAGGACATTTACCCGGCCCCGCCGGGTGTGCTTGCCCCATTTTGGTTTTTTAACTTCAAAATAAGATATGTGCAGTGTGCATAGGAATTTGTTCATAGTTTTGTTTTGTTTTTTAACTATAGTCCGGCCCTCCAACGGGTCTGAGGGACAGTGAACTGGCCCCCTGTTTAAAAAGTTTCATGGCCAGCTAGTCCAGTTACGCTTACTTCCAGCAGAGGGCACCAGGGAGAATGAGACCAGATGCTAAGGCAGCAGTTCTCAAGCTGTGGGTCATGACCCCTTTGGAAGTTGAACAACCTTTCACAGGGGTCACCTAAGACTATCGGAAAACACTTAAACATCTCACAATATATAATTACATATTGTTTTGTGATTAATCACTATGCTTTATGTTTAATTATGTTCAGTTTGTAACAAGGAAAATACATCAGATATTTACATTGCAATTCATAACAGTAGCAAAATTACAGTTATGAAGCAGCAACGAAATAATTACAGTTATGAAGTAGCAACGAAAGTAATTTTATGAGTGGGGGTCACCAACACATGAGAAGCTGTATGAAAGGGTCACGGCATGAGAAAGGTTGAGAACCACTGGGCTAAGGGTAGATGACGTCAGCTGAAGGCCGTGCAGGAAAGCCTTGTGTAGTGAGGCTGCAATCCTCACACTTCCAGGAGGTCCACATTTCAACAGATTTAACGCCTTTGTTGAAACTGCGTATTTTCTTTTCAACAGGTGCACTGGTTCTCTAGGCTGGGGGAAACCAGGTCTTTTCAATGTCAGTTAGAAGTGAAGTCTTCAGAGAGAATTAATGACGTTTTATCTGGGCAAAAGACATGTTGGTGGGTTGAATGCATTTCAGTGATTGAGCCATTGCCTTTAAGTTGATTAGAACTAGAAGTGAACGCAGGCACCAAGAGACTGTGAACTCGTCCCCGCCCCCATGCCCTCTAATTCAAGCCACAGTGTTCTGTGTGAAAAATGTCTGCTTGGGTTAAAAGCAACCCGTCTCGACGAAGGAAATGCCGACTTTGGACACAGCATTTTCTACAGATTGTGATATTGTGAAGAAAGTGGTGGGAGAGTCCAGTTTCCTTTTATTTCACAGCTCCAGGCTGGCTCAGGTGTGCCCGTGTGGGTTGCTGAGTTTGGGTGTGGAGGGACGGAGGGGCGTGGCAGTTGTTTTTATTGTTGCTTTTACATCAAAACACTTCAGACATCCACATAGTTCTTAGGGTGAGTCATTCACGGGTTCCCACGGCCAAGTCATTTCCTCCCCCAAAATAACAAACAAAGAGGCAGCACTGCTACCTCAGCTGCTTGCTTCATGTCCGCAGAACTCAGAACAATGCTTCCTTTTTTGGTGGGGAGCTTTTGCCTTGGGGAAATCGTTTTTTGGGTCGTTTTAAATTGTTTTTATGAAAAGAACCCCTCCTGGCAGCCTTTTATTGTAAAAGCTTTTACCAAGGAGCTTTATCAGAAGTTACTGTTTATGAGTAGCTCGTCTACTAGAAGAATGAAACCTGAAAGTCCTATACTGCTCCTCAGACCCGGCAGGCTGAGTGTTGATGGCTTGTCGGCCGGTTTCTCACCGTTTTACTTACTGCTTGTTGCCTACTGTTTAGTTTTTACATGCACACACACACACAGATAGGTAGTTAGGCAGGGACAAAGGGAGAGAGATAATTTGTATGAATCTTCTCATGAATACCATTAACTAATAGGACAAAGTAAAACATGTTCTCCTTCTGCTTCTAGGCTATGTAAGCCATTTCCTAAGTATTAAAACTGGTCTTGGTCTATTTCCCCATACTCTTATATAAATATATTTACATATGTACATGCCTTTATTTAGACCTCTATAAATGCCCTTTGCCTCCTAGCTCTTTCCTAGATCTATGTGCATATATTTATAGGTTTAGTATTAAGGTAGCAGATGGACATTGGGCCTCCACTCAAGTACTCCCTCAATGCAAGAATACTTTGTTCTATTAAACTGGCATTCTATGATGCTCACCTTCCCAACACAGTCGGTGAAGACAAAGCAGGTAAATAAGCAAATGTGGTGAAGAAAGTTGATGGTGCCCAGATATCAAAAGATATAGCGTCTGGGGTCTTAAAAGCTTGAAGGTGAACAAGCGGCCATCTAGCTCAGAAGCAACAAAGTCCACATGGAAGAAGCACACCAGCCTGCGTCATGATCACGAGGTGCCAAAGGGATCAGTTATCAGGCATCAAAGAACAAAAAATCATATCATTGTGTGCTCATCTCCCTGATACAATCGCTGAAGGCAAATGGGTACATAAGCAAATGTGGCGAAGAAAGGTAATGGTGCCCGGCTATCAAAAGATACAGCATCTGGAGTCTTAAAGGCTTAGAGGTAAACAAGCAGCCATCTAGCTCAGAAGCAATAAAGCCCACATGGAAGAAGCACACCAGCTTGTGCGATCATGAGGTGTTGAAGAGATCAGGTATCAGGCATCATCAGAACAAAAAATTGTATTGTGAATGGGGGGTGGGGGAGTGCAGAGTGGAGACCCAAAGCCCATTTGTAGGCCACTGGACATCCCCTTACAGAAGGGCGTTGGGGAGTAGATGAACCAGTCGGTGCGATGCAGCAACAATTAAATATAACTTTCCTCTAGTTCCTAAATGCTTCCTCCCCTCGCCTATCATGATCCCAATTCTACCTTACAAATATGGCTAGACCAGATGATGTACACTGGTACAGATAAGAACTGGAAACAGGGAATCCAGGGCCGATGATCCCTTCAGGACCAGTGGTGTGAGTGGGGATACTGGGAGGGTAGAGGAAGGGTAGGTTGGAAAGAAGGAACTGATTACAAGGATCTACATATAACCTCTTACCTGGGGGACGGACAACAGAAAAGTAGGTGAAGGGAGACATCAGAAAGGGCAAGATATGACAAAATAATAATTTATAAATTACCAAGGGTTCATGAGGGAGTGGGGAGCAGGGAGGGAGGGAAAAAATGAGCTGATGCCAGGAGCTTAAGTGGAGAGTAAATGTTTTGAGAATGATGAGGACAATGAATATACAAATGTGCTAAAAAAAAAAAATAAGCCATAGAGTAGCAGAATAGATTTTTTTAAAAAGAAGCATTATGGAAAGCAAATGTTTTGAGAATGAGGAGGGTAACAAATGTGCTTTATACAATTGATGTAGGTATGGATTGTGATAAGAGTTGTATGAGCCCCCAATAAAATGATTTTTTTTTAAGTGCAACCAGAATAAAAAAATTTTAAAAACTGGACTTGGTATTTCCTGTGCTACCTTAAAATCTTGCTGCCCTGTCTGGTATGAAATGCTAAACATCCACCCTGATGACTTCCCATTCTGTATTTCTTAAGGAGCCCAGCGGTACTGTGCTCCAGGGTTTGCTTGCTAACAGAATGATGGGCAGTTGGACCAATCAGCTGCTCTGTGGAAGTCAAGACCCCGTGCTCTCACACAAAGAACCAGGACCCCGTTGGGCTCCACGGTGCCGCCTTGGCTGCGGCGTCAGAACCCTTTTACACAACAGACTCCTTTTGAGTGGATTCTGATGGTTTGTTTTGAGGCGAAATGTTAGACGGTAATGCAGCCATTCCAGAAATGTCTGTGTGGGAGCTAAAGTCCTGAGAAGGGTCTAGTTTTGTGTATTCTCTCTGGACGCAATTGGTCAGTGTCTCTTTTCTCTCCACCCTCTCTGCCTGCCCGCCCAGTGCATTCGCTGCTGAAATCGGCCTTCAACAGCATAGCGATCGAGAAGGAGAAGCTCAAGCAGGTGGTTGCTGAGCAGGAGCACAATACAGGGAGCGCGCAGCTGGCGCGGCTCCGGCAGTCACTGTCTCAGGTAAACCAGGCGGCTTGTTTTCACGCATGGGACACGCCCTAACCCTGGGGGGCCAAAGGTGGAGTGGGAGTAGGGGTGGTCAGTCATGCGTGGGGCATGTTCACTTGATTCAGTGTTATTGCATTTTTAAAAATCAAAGAGCAAAAATTGCTATTTTTGACTGAATACTTCATTTAGAAGGTCATCCCTGTCTTTAAAAAAAGAATCATACATGTGTAATGATTCATATATGTAAAATTTGCTCCAGAATATATCTGCATGTTCTGTCCAATGTTGAATTGGACAGAGTGTATTAGACATTCCCATGGAGCACACAGTAGCACGTGTAATAAGAGGACATTGATCTGTTGGAAGCTAGATTATTATCACCCCCTTCTTCCTCATCTGGTTTGCGCTTTTAGGATTTGCTTCCTTTCTAAGTTTCGCTCCCTGGAGCTCCATTTTCACATGTCAGCCTCTATCATACAATTGATTTTAATTTAGCAATCAAAGCCCTCCCTCCCTCTCTCTATATATACATATATATCAAAAGTGAAATGTCTGAAGAGAATTTGTCAGAGCCACGCCTTAGAGGTTGCCCCTTCCCCTGAAGTAAATCTCTTCATCGCTTAGTCAATCAATGCACTTAGTTCCGCTTCTCTGGGGTTTCAATGCTGTTCTGTGACGTGTGTGTGGGAACCGGTGTTTATGAACACTATCGTTCACTCCCTGGTGCCGTGGACCAGAGCGACGGCGCGAACAGCTGCTGGGTAAGTGGTTCGCCCTGTGGATCGCGTCCTGCTTGTGCTGTGCCTCCGCCCAGCAAATAAGGCCTCAGCGGGATCGTCACGTCGGATGTACCTGAACTGTCAGCCGTGACGTTCCTGAGTCCCGTGACCTAGGTCACGCTTTCCGTGTCCCCCGCTGGGAGGCCGTCAGTTGAGGGGCATCGGCTGCTTCCCACGCACAGCTAGGGGCTTTGCCAGCATGAGCGTTCGAAGCGGCAGCTCTTTTGCTGGTTTGCAGCTGGCTTTGTTCGTTAAGAATGCATCCATGGTCTCCACGGTACTAATCTCAGGACACTTACCTGTTGAATGTGAATTGACCGCGCAACCCAAAGACTAAAATAAGGGTCACCTGAGCATGCGAGCGCCTCTTTGGAAACCGAGGCAGTTTCTCTCTCCTTCCCCTCGGGGCTGCGGTGCTGTCTGCAGAGGACGCTTGGATGCTGGCAGCTTAGCGGTACTGGGCAGGCTTGCAGTGAGAAAAAGGAGAGGCTGGGTTTCTGACGTTATGTGCTGTTTGTAAGACTGCGGATGGTCTGTCGAGATTCAAATCTGAGCGTCAGGTGAGATTCGTGAGATTCGAGACGAAGAACAAAAGATAGAAAGCAGCTAGTCCTTGGTGTCTGTGTTTTCTCTCACTCAGCGGACTGTCCTAGAGACTGTGCAAGGTGATCGGAGCGGCCCTGGCCGTGGGGACGGGGGCTCAGGCTCTGGTTAGGGAGATGAGCAGCGTGTACTCAGGAAGCAGTTACAGGAACCACACACGAATCCATTCAGGGCAGAGATGAGGGATGCGGCTTTCCAGGGCTCCGGGTGCGCACAGGGATGGGAGGCCCCTCTGCTGACGGCACAGCCCCAGATCAGACCTCAGGGAGGACTCAGGCCTGGACTTGGCCCTGGACAGGCAGCAACAGCCCTGCCGGGACAAGAGCCGACGCTGCCACACAAAAGCGAAGGAAGGAAGGCAAAGGCAGCCTCAGATCCCTTGTGCATCTTTTGGATTAAACAGTACCCTCTCTTATCAAAACGTACCTATCTGCGTTTAGAGTTAGTATCTGAATAAGATTGTGTGGGGGTCTTGGTTGGGTTTAGTTTTTAGATGTTGTTGGTTTTTGGTTTTGGTTTTAACCAAAAAGCTAACTTTTAATCCTCAAGTAACAGGCGAGTAATTTAGAACTGTGAAGAAAGCTATATTCTATCCACCAGAGAATTCCATGCTTCCAGTTACAGCAGCACCTTATCCTAAGTTCACATATGGGTGTCTGTTCATAGGCCACCACAGCATCACTGGCCAGCTACTCCCGTCACCTGTGGGGCAGGAGTCCCTTTGGGGAATATGATTTGCAGCTCGCTCCCTCCAAGCAAATCACAACCGTGAGGAGACCACTGGAGAGATGGAGCAAAGCATGGACAAGGAAGTTACTCTGGGAGCCGCTAGTTAACCACACCGTAACCAGCATACTATAATTGAAACAACCACAGCACCACGTCCACAGCCATAGTGACCCTATAGGACAGGATAGAAGCACCCCTATGGGTTTCCAAGATAAACTGCTTACAAGAGTAGAAAGTCATCTTTCTCCCTCAGAGCGGCTGATGGACTCGAACTGCTGACCTGTGGTTTGCAGCCCACGGAGAAACCCACCATGCCACCAGGGCTCCTCAACCAGCTTACTAGAGACCACACAAAAGAGTTTGGATTTATCTTATCAGTGATTGGGAGACATGTTAGGCTAGGTTCTCCAGAAAAACAAAAGCAGGACACTTGGGATTGCATATATCTACAAGGAATGTAACAGCTAATTAGTCCACACAGCAGTACAGAGGGCTCAGTTCAACTCACTTTTGTGAAACAGTACACTGGAAGTCCTTCAATTCACATGGTCCAAAGTCCAAGTCCAAGGTCACGGAAACAGGCCACAGAGTCCTCCCTTGGGCAAGGTAAGCAGAGTCTGCCCACAGTCAACAAACAGCAGGGTGGGTCAGCAACCGTCAGTAGCTTGGGAGCTTAGCAAAGCAGGCCAGAAAGGGATGTGGACCGCAAGCAAGGCAAGGCGACGGGATCTACCAGCTTCAAGCGCAAGCAATATACGCACCAGCAGCGTGGTGAGCAGGTCTGGAAGGATTCTCAAGCTCTAGACATGATCCATGGGTTGGCTTGGTCCACAGGTAGTGTAGCTCACAGGTTGAGGCAGAGAACTAGCTAAAACAGCAGCACACTGCTCTGATCGCCAGAGAGCGAGAGCAAGAGAGGCGGGCCTTGCTGAGTCATTTATCTCTTTGCCCTCCAATCTACAACCTGATTATCCCACATGTTCCTATTGGCCAAGTTGGCACAATAAACCTAACTATCACACACAATACAGAATTTTAACTGGTGCGCAATAATGCCAGGAAATTTACTGTGCATTGCTGCCTCTAAAGGAGCACTGGTGACAATGGTTAAAGCTCTGGGCTGCTAACTGAAAGGTTGGGGTTTCAAATCCACCAGCCACCCCATGGGGAAAACACTTGGTGAGCTGCTCCTAAAAGATTAGAGCTTAGGAAGCCCTATAAGTTCTAGTCTGCTCCGTAGGGTCACCATGAGCAGAAATCAACTCAACAACATACAGTAACAATTTCTGCACATCCGAAAGATTCATCTGACATAGTACGGAATATGGATGGAAGTGAAGGCAAAGCTTGTTGGAGGGAGGTTATGATTATTCAGAGATATATGTCATGGAGTTTGAAGGACAGGTGGGTTCAAAAGCACCAGGGAAAGGAAATCATCAGGCACAGGTGGGGGTGGAGGTGATCAACAGCATATTTGAGATAAGCAAGAAAACAGTCAAGACTAATTTCCAGAGTGTTGACTTGGACACGGTGTGTAGGTAGTTTGACATAGAGACCTTGTGCTCTGGAGAGAGGCCTGGACTAAAGAGAAGGCTGTGTGTGGATACTCACTCAAAGAGTGTGTGAAAAAATTCCATCCTCTTTAAATTCTATTTCTCTGTGAACTTTTTGAAGCCCCCTTGTATAGCTGAAGCTATAAACACTCATGTGTATTGAGTCAGAATTAAAGTGCTGCTGCAGGCAAGTCGAACATTTAAGGCCTATTAAGAGGGAGAATCTTTTGACGAAGACCCAGCGATAGCAGTCGAAGAATTTAGGTAATACTGACCATCAAAATCAAAGAGGTTTGATAGTCTCAAAGGAGAAGGTTAACAGAATTGGATTTAGTGGTTTATAGTACAGGTATACTCATAAGTACTTTTAAAAACTTTTTTTTTTTAAGCCCTGGAACTTGGCAGACTGGAGAGCGTTCTTTCAGAAAACTGGGCGAGAAGCTATGATGAGGTTGCTCAGAGTCCGTCAATGGTGAAAAAGTAGCACTTTCTAGGGTTGGCTTCTTTTTTCTTCTAGAAGCTTAGTTGTACTTTCAGGCAAAAAATCTTACCATAGTGAATAAGGGGGGAGTGCAGAGTGGAGACCCAAAGCCCATTTGTAGGCCACTGGAGATCCCCTTACAGAAGGGTATCGGGGAGGAGATGAGCCAGTCAGGGTGTGATGTGGCAACGATGAAAAATACAACTTTCCTCTAGTTCCTAAATCCCCCATCCACTATCATCATCCCAATTCTACCTTGCAAGTCTGGCTAGACCGGAGGATGTAACTGGTACAGATAGGAACTGGAAACACAGGGAATCCAGGGCAGATGATCCCTTCAGGACCAGTGGTGTGAGTGGTGATACTCGGAGGGTAGAGGGAGGGTGGGTTGGAAAGGGGGAACCGATTACAAGGATCTACCTGTGACCTCCTCCCTGGGGGACGGGCAACAGAAAAATGGGTGAAGGGAGATATTGGCAGGGCAAGAAATGACAAGTTAACAATTTATAAATTATCCAGGGTTCATAAGGGAGAGGGGATTGGGGAGGGAGGGGAAAAAATGAGGAGCTGATGCCAGGAACTTAAGTGGAGAGCAAATGTTTTGAGAATGATGAGGGCAATGAATGTACAAATATGCTTTACACAATTGATGTATGTATGGATTGGGATAAGAGTTGTATGAGCCCCTAATAAAACGATTAAAAATATTTACTCATAAGTCAGAGCAGTTATGTATCTAATACCAGTTAGTCAAATGTGTGACTTTGTATAGAGTCTATAGTATGCCTTTCTATAAAGGCCTTGGCTGCTAACCCAAAGGTTGCCAGTTTGAATCCATCAGCCACTCCGTGGGAGAAAGATGAGACACTGCTTCCATAAAGATTTACAGTCTTGGAAACCTGGAAGGCACTTCTACTCTGTTGTATAGGATCACTCTGATCCGGAATCACCTAGACAGCAATGATTTTTATGGGTACTTTTTTATGCATTATAAAATTATTGTAGTTTAATATATAATATTTTTAACTTAACTTATTTTCATTTGAAATAAGGCCGACTTGATGTATGTCTAATAATTAAAGTGCCATTTTCAACAAAGGATCGAAGGATATCAATTCATCAAGTCCCATCATCCTTTTAGAAAGCAAATAGCAGATATAAAAAAAAAAATCAAAGCAAACTCACTGCAATTAATCCCATCTCATAATGACCCTATAGAAAAGGCCACAACTACCCCTTTGGATTTCAGAGACAGTAACTCTTTACAGGAGTTCAAAGCTTCATTTTTCTCCTACAAAACAGCTAGTAATTCATCATTCATTGACTCTGGGCAACCTCATTATAGCATATACAATATATATAATTAGCAATCTTCAGTACATACTTAGCATATATTGTTACCTGCCTGGGCCAAGTGAAATTTACAATGATTTCTTCTTGTAAAGCAGTATTTCCTCCCTGATCTATAGGTGCACCCACAAATGTAAAGCCCACTGTCGTTGAGTCGACCATGGCTCGTAGTGTCCCTATTTAGGATTTCTGAGGTTGGAGTCAGTTACAGAAGCATATTGCCTCATCCTTCCCCCATGGTAGTGGCTGGGGGTTTGAACCACCAA